AAGGGTGGCGATGCGCCAAGATTGTATTGAACGTGTGTTAGATTGATTACATGAGGCTCGGGGTCTATTTATACCCGAGATTACAAAATATGTCCGTGTCGGACACGAAACAAACTCTAAGACACCATAAATCTTTGCGGCAGACTTTTGCCCAAACATATCTCTAAGGAAATTACATAAAATAACCTAATTAATAGATACAATTGCCTTCTCAGGACCCAATCCGTGCGTGGCAATTCTCATGAAGCACATTAGCTCAACCCGACAACGTGTACCATGTCACATTGTCGGATTCGGCTCAATCGGCTATCCTTGTCCAACTCGGACTCTGCCGATCACAATCGCAGTCGATTCGGACTTTAGCCGATCCTTGCCCTGTTTCCGAAATGATTTCCACCTTAGACTCCGCCTCAGTTTTATCTTTGTCTTCGATACTGAAATTACTAAATTTGGTTGTTAGCATGTTCCTTCTGAGCATTTATATGCTTCATTCTCTTAATAACAGACTAAAGTTACGGCTTAGGCTGATTAAACTTGTAAGTCGTTATTTATTTAGCGGTTAAACTGGTTTTTACTCGAATTTTAATACAAATGATGTATTATGCCCCAAAATAGATGATAGATCTGTAGAGTGCTCTTATCACTCGGATCTTTATATATCATCTATGTTTCATAGTGAGCTCAATAATCTTATTTAAGCAGTCGGCAAATTCCTCAGATGAAGTCGAATATGCTTTAATATTAAATTACTTCGGTAGTACCATTCATAAAACCACTCACCTAGTTATTTATTTTAACCTTGACTATATGTTTAGTTTTTTCCAACTAATCACATAGTCGGGGGCTACACCTATTAGGTGCATCTAGTCGATGCACCTAAAATTTTTTAGCCCTTCACAGCATTTGATTCAACCACTAGGGAGGCCAAGGCAGAGATAATTGAAGCACTCGGGATTTTCGTTTAATGACTCGGGAGAAGATTATTTCGTCGATTGTTTAGGTCTCAGGGGCTACTGTGGAGATTATGGATACCCCATACCTACACGCATGTGTATCCGACTAGGTATAGGGATACCAAATATACTGATAGAATATATTTAGTAAAGGACTCAGTTGTTATGTTAACTTATATATCAAGGAAACATCCGATAGTCCTAGTCGGTTACGATTATAATTTATCTTTACATGCCTAGTCGTTAGGAACATGGGCTGTATCTTGTAATTCTGGCTCCTCCCCCTATATAAGGAGGATCCAGGTGCCTCCAGGGGCATAACCTTTCTCTCTGATTATACGATCAACAATACACTCGGCGGATCAATCCCCGGACAGGAGTAGGGTATTACTTCTCATTGAGAAGACCTAAACCTATATAAACACTACAGGAGTTCAGACTTCTTGTGTCCAAAAAATGTGACGAAGTTTTATTTCACCACTATTTATTACAATTGTAGTGACCAAAAAAGTTTTCGCCACTGCGATACTGATCATTAGTGAGAATATGTTAAGTCGCCACAATATATAGCATTAGTGTCAAATCTTTAGTGAGAAATTAATATTTTGCCACTGTCGTTGTATTATTAGTGGGAGAACACTGTGTCAGCACAAGAGGCCTTATCAGTGGCGAATTTATTGTGGTGAACCATCCTGTTGCCACTGTTTAATTTTTAATTAGTGACCAATTGTTATATTGTCACAGGAGTCCCTAGTTGTAGCAAACTCATTCGCAACTAATATTTTTTTATTAGTGGGAAACCTTCATATCGTCACAGGATACTATAATTGTGATGAATTTGTAAAATATCATCCATATCTGGTGGCATACTATTTTTTTCATAGAAATTCAAATTAGCGAAAAAAATGTGTTCTCACTATTCATTAATAATTGTTTGGATATGCCATGTACAATTTATCTAAAATCTATTTTTTAAATTTGTATTTCTTCCAAAAATTTTATTCACCGCATATACTAACTATAATAAGTGGCAAAGCAACAAATTTTGGACAAAACTTTTTTTACAAAGGAATTAAAGAGCAACATAATAATTTATTCTCCATATATTTTCCATACATGTTTTTTTTAAGCACCACACTCACATGTAGAAAATGGAATAAACATGTTTACTATCCGCTCAAGAACAGAATAAAGGAGGTTTAGAGGGCTTGTCGGCTGGGAGGCCGACCACCGCGCCGAGTCTGCCATTTAATTTCGATGGCAACTAGAGAGGTGGTGAGGACAGAAAATTAATGGGTCTGTTTGGTTCTTACAGCTGTAGCCACAGCCAAAAAATGCTGTACCGAACAAGCCAAATGATTTTCTACATATAAATTGTCACTGGGTGGCTGACAGGTGGTCTACTATCATATAAATATAAATTGTTCCATAAGCATTTGCATTTAATAAAGAAAAAATACACGCTTCGATCATTCTATGACCCAGATATTCTGACATTTGTATTACATTTATAAAGTCCATGGGTCCAAAAGATTGTTTTTAGTATCACAAAAATTTAATTTATGCCTCCAAATGGACACAATCGTGAACACGCGCACACCCATTTTCTATGAGCACTCAAATAGCACTAGGTCATAACTCTAGTTTGAGCATCATCGTGATGTCGGCTTGCTGCTCATCATCTGCATCGGTTTACTCGCGCACTAAGGCCCTTTTTAGATCCCACCCAAAATTTTTCAACATGTCACATCGAACGTTTGAACACATGTATGAAGTATTAAACATAGACTAAAAAATAACTAATCGCACATATTACGACTAATTTGCGAGATAAATCTTTTAAGCCTAATTGCACCATGATTTGATAATGTGGTGCTACAGTAAACATTTGCCAATAACGGATTAATTAGACTTAATAAATTCGACTCGCGATTTACTGACGGATTCTGTAATTATTTTTTTTATTGAACTACGTTTAATACTTTAAATGTGTGTCCGTAGATCCGATGTGACACGCAAAACTTTTTACCCTGGATCTAAACACAGCCTAAACCATTAGTAATTAATTAATTGGCCATTATTTTTAATTTACCGTCATTACCTATCCATTAAAATAGTATGCGAGATTAAATTTTTGACACTGGCATGGATGCAAAATTAAATTGGACCCATCGGTCAATCAATGGTTTTATTATGCTAAAACGTAATGTAACTAGCTTGTATTAATCCAATATGTACACTCGTACTGTTGCTTAAAAAAGTACTATGTAGGAGTACTACTCTTTATATAGTAGCTTTGAACTCCTCCTTATCCTCCTGTCTAGGAGTATTAAAGCCAGCAGCATTTAGAGCGTCCTAGAGGCACCTACAGCAGCAACCTGCATATTCTCGATCTGGATCTAGGCAGCTGCTTGCAAAATTCGGGTGGCAGCGTGAAAATTTCTCCTGAGGATTTTTGGGTTAGCACCGGCCGGTGAGAAGTTCACGGGATGGCCAGGTATGAGTCGTTGAGGTGCAGAGATTTTGTTGGGATATTTTCTGTAGTATGGGGATTTCTGTGGTTTCTTGAGATATTTGCTCATTCTCAAGTTCGTTAGGATAACGCGTGTTCTTCTTCGGAGGGATTGTTTCTGCTACTAGCGGACTAATAGGCAACCAAAACCATGGTGAGGCAAACCGGCCTCCTTCTCCATTGCCGCAGGGTGTTTAGATTGAGAACCATCTTCCTAATTCCCTTCAAAGATTTGGCGTCAAATTATTTCTCCCGCCAAAAACGATGGGTCTATATATACAGCCTCATTTCCCAAACCAATCTTTTCAACATCCAGAGTCAAACAGAAACAGAACCTTGAGGTTTCTACGGTAGGTTTCCCGGAGAGAAGCTGCAAGCGAAGGTAAAGTGCTAAACGATTCAATTCGATCTGGGAATACTATTTGTTAGTCAGCCTTGCGCACAAACACACCACCATGTTTGTCCATCACTGCCTCTATTGCTGCAATCGCCGCAAACGATGACACCGCCGCTGCCGATGTCCATCGTGTCCATTTGTTATGTCTTCTTCTCAATTATCATTCTTTCGGTTTAATTTGCTATTCATATCTTTTTCGTCCCCTGCTCTTATTGTCTAGACGCAGTAAATATTTCTTTTTTCAATGTTACAGAAAAAATGAGTTCCCGGCTGCGTCAGGGAAATCAACGAGTGGATACTGCAGATCAACCGGCCACACGTCAACGATCTCGTCAAGTGGGGACTGTGGGTGAACAAATGGCATCGATCATGCCATTGATAGAAGCGAACAAGACATAGGTAAAATTTCTATTAAACACAAGCACTTTGATGCATTAGGTGAAATAATTCGTTAGCTAGAGCCTGTACAATATATATCTCTACAACTGAATTATTTATATTGTGGGGATAAATATTGTTTAAAGTCCATCTGTACTGTTATGTCTCAATTCAACATGTGCATTGCCAAATTCAGATGATCAGCAGGCCTCTGATGTTGCCATGGATGATGCAGAACAAATTGCCTCTACACTGCTAAACTCAAGATGTATGATTTGTTTCAAATAATATTTTTGCCATGGTTTAATTGAACTATTTACATTGAAATGTCTATTTTGACTGCTCCTGTTTTTACTGACATAGGTCGTGCTCCAAGGAGGGGGGGGGGGGGGCGAAAAGTCACCATCAATACCAAACTTGTTAAGAAAAGGGCAAGAAGAGAAAGGCTAGATATTTCTTTTCCTCAACCATTTGGAAAAGTGTGTGGAAAGCATGCAAAATTATTTAAAAGTGAGGTTACCGTTATTGTAAGAAATCATGTGCCTCTGAAAGCCAAAAAATGGAAGACCATTGAAAAGCAACATCCTGGTACAATGGCTAATGTTTGGAAGAAGTTGAAGGTTGTTAAATATTCTTATGTCAACATATTTTACATATTTATTTTTTTTAGTTGCCAACATGGAACTTTTGCTGACAGGATGCATTTCCTGAGCTACGCAACGAAGATGAAGATTGTGCTATGAAGCAGGTTGAAGAGTAGTATAGTAATCGACGTTATCGTCTCCACTGCTTGCACCATAACAAGAAACCAAGGCCAACCCATGTTTCACCAGAAGATTGGGCTTGGCTGATAAAGCATGTGTGGACCGATGAGGATTTTCAGGTGCTTATTTTTTTTAATATAATTGTGCCATGTTCCATGCATAATAATTGATATGCCTGAAATTTTATTATATAGAAAAGAAGCAACCAGAATGCAGCTAACAGGGCAAAGCAGGAGATGGGCTCTAAAGTGGGAACTAAATCAATTGCTCAAATTGCACATGAACTGGTGAGAACAATATAGCCATTTGTCTTTCACTTTCTCCGTATTTTTGTTAACTGTACAGCTCATTTTCTCATTTACATGCAGAGAAACAAAGAGACAGGTGAATGGCCTACAACAATGCAAGTTTGGAAAGCAACCTATCAAAAGGCTGATGGAACATGGTCTGTTCCTAATGGTGAACGAGTTCTGGTATATATCTTTACTTATGACAACTTGTTTTTTTAGATTTCAGCCTAAACTATATGATATGTGTCAATGTACCTTCTGAGTAGTACTATTTTACCATTGGAAACGCTTCCATCTGCCCTATCTGTATGATTCTTTTGCTTACTGTTGTTTTCACATTACAAATGCTTCTATTACTCTAAAATTTCACCTTAACAAGTCCACCTCACAAGAAGTGCATACTAAATGGGCTAGGTGAACTACTGAACTGTGTTGTTGCTAAATAATCAGTAAGTGATATCATTCATTTTATATTAGGCCCTGTTTGATCTAATACTTGCAAAAAAAACTAGAATAGTAAGTGATTAAAAATCATATTTGTTGTACCTTGAAACCTTGTATGAGGTGTTAGTTTGTTTATGCTTATACATTTTCTTTTTATAATCTGTGTCAACAGTCTAAACTAAATGAAGTTGCTCAATCACAACAAGAAAATATATGTTCTGCAGCAGTACCACTAGTAGAGCATTTTGCCTTGGTCCTTGGGAAAAAAGCGAACCATTCACGTGGTATAGGCTTACGTGCAATTAATAGAGTGGCTGAAGAAAGGCTAAGGTTACTTGCACAAGTTGAGGCTGCTGAAAAGCATGCAGCTACTGCCCAGGAGCGTGTTGATGCTGCGGAACAGCGAGCAGTAGCTATGGAAGACCAAGTCCGCAAATTGGATGAAACAAATGCCCAGTTGCAAGTAGAGCAACAATCTCAACGTGATGAGTTGAACTCCCAGAGAAGGACAGTAGAGGGACAAGCTACAGATGTTGAAAGAATGGTACAACAAAAACTTGATGAGCAAATGGCCATATATTTCTCACGCTTCGCTTCTTCCAATGGTGTTTCATCCTCACGATCTCCATCAGATGTAAGAAACAATAAAATATGACTAATGTTTTGTTTTTCATGCAATGGCTTTTTAAGTACTGAAAGCTAAAAATATATTTGCTCATATTTACAGGACCATTAGAATGCATGAAGTTGATCTCCAGAAGTCTATTTAATCAAGCTGAAGACATCCTAAGTCTATTTCACCGAATAATTTAGTATTAGTCCCATTTAAGTTTCTACTGGTTGCTTTAGTTCTCATCATGATGTTTATGTCAGCATTTCGTGAGAAATTTTGAGCTTCTTGTTGAGTGCAACATTTGTTTGGTTGTAAGACTTCTGAATAAATATTTCAATATCATTGTTCCTTAATTTGGTTTAATTGAGATGTTATTTTTTTTAATGGTGTTCGATGCAAAATAAAATTTATATTTCATTAATACAATTGTCACGGTGAAAAATAGTAGTGGTCCTGGGAGTATAAGTTCTTGTGATGAAAAATTGTCACACATCTTACGTGGCCTCACAAAAAAAAGATTATTTGTGATAAAAAATTAACACGAACTATTCATTTGTGGCGTTAAACACATCACTATTAATCGTCCTAATCAACGGAAATGGTATAGAGGTGAGAAGAAATTTCACCACATAAAACATCAAAAGTGACAGTAACGCTGCCACAGATCTAACGGAAGTAGTGGCCATATAAATAATCACATTTGTAAATTACAATAGTGACAATTTTATAGTCATAATTATATACTAAACGTGGCAATTTTTGGGGCCACAATAAAAATCTTAAGTGATGAAACTATCACCACTATTCTAAACATATTTGTGGCGGCGTATGTCGTCTCTGATGTAACTATTATCAGTGATAAATTTTACCATCACTAATATTTATGAATATTTGTGGCGAACACAAAATCATCACTATGTTATTTGTGATGATTACCAGTGGCGACTAGTGACAAACTTCAGAATTGGCCACAGTCGCTTGCTTGTGATGAATAAAACATTTTGTGTCAAAATTAATCATCACAAAAACCAATTTCTCTTGTAGTGAAACCTTGTGTCTCCTAGCCCATCCACTTTTCCAGCTTGATAGCCCTTTTTGTATTGTCGAAATCTTGTTTTGTCATGCCCGGAAATTCACTAGTAATTTCCGAACTAATTTGTACATAAAATCCTCGTCCAGGAATCAGCCAAGGTACACAAACTGACAATTTAATATACAAATCCATCATAATAATAACGTTACATACTTACAAAAGAAAAGAAAACAGCAGCGGAATTAACGGTCTAGCGATGGCTTCAGCTCCACTCCCACAGGCAGCTCAACTGGTGTATAAGCCAAATGTCTTCTCCTTTTGGATCATTTTTCTTCAACTAAGGTTGATTGATTATTGCAAGAATGAGCATATGACATACTCAACAAGCCACACAGCAAATATGCAAGTGCACAAGGATACCAAAGGATGGCATAATATAGGCTCATTTGCAAAAGCAGCATTTAGCAAATATTTAAGAATAGTAAAACAGTAGAGTAATCATCAATTTTAATCAACACTGAACAGCACACCCATGCTGCTCAGGCCCAACCATTCTGAACAACCAAACCCGGCTGCACAGATCTAACTCCAAACCAGGAGCTAAACAAATTATTACCAATTATAGCATCAATAATTATTGTGAGAGGTTTGAGACTAATCACGAAAAACATTGCTCAACCCGCCCATGACCGCGGGCACGGCTATTCGAATAGTTTTACTCTGGCCAGAGGTGTACCACTGTACCCACAAGACACAGCCTTGACATCATGTCTAACATGCGTCGCGATACTGGAAAGTACCCGAATAGAGGCTGTGACAATACCCTCTGCACAACACAACTCACCAGAGTGCACCATTCCTGGATCATAATCACCCCCTCTATAAATATAACCAGAGGCATGGACTCCCCAGGGACCCCCACGGACTTCTCGCCGCTTCTCAGTCTGGCACCCCGCAATGAATCATGCTATACAAAAGGTAAAGCCGTTGCCCACGCTGGCTTGTGGTTGATACGGTTAATGTCTCACAACAGTAGCTAGCGAACCGGTCCTTAATTGTCATGAGCACGACCTTCAAAACCATGTGCTCACAACCCACCATTGTCAAGTTTTAATTATCAATTAATTATCATAACACGATTAACCATCGTGAGCTACCATTAAATATAACTTTTGGTGTACCTTGCCTCCTGGTCGTCACCATCTGAAAATCCCACACAGAACCAGCAAACAGAGAGAGCTGACAATTAAAGCTAACCACCCACGACTACCATAATTCTTGAATTTATTACTGCTATTAAATTGGTTCATTAAGGTTCAAGTTTCTTAAGCAAATAAAATAAAGACAGGCTCCAACACAGTTATACCACACACCGGCATAACCATGCCCCATACGACTCTAGCAGAAAAACAAACGAGAAGAACACACGTGCAAGCCTACTAACTGCTCGTCTACTGCTGCGATGAGCCAGGGCGGAAGGTGAGCAGCAGCGCATCCTCCGTGCTGCCAACGCCAGAGGCTCCCTCCTCCTGAGGAACCACGGGGGCGGGCTCGGCACGAGGGGTCTCGACGAAGCAGGTCCACGCTAGGGACTGACGAACAAGCTCGGGCCTGGAGGTACTCTTGCGGGCGGTGATCTTCAGGCTGTGGCAGACGCGGCGACGCTTGGGGCGACAGACCTCTCCCTGGGCGATCTTGAGCTGACGCAGCTGCGCCTCCACTGCGTCTAGGTCCTTCTTCAGCTGCAGATTCTCCTGACGTAGCTCCAGGATCTTCATGTTGTTCTCAACCAACCCTCGACGCATCATCTGATGGAAGTCGATATGGGCCGCGTCGTACGCCTCCACCATGCGCGCCAGGTGCATGATGGTAGCGTCATCCTCCGAGCTAGCATCCCGGAAGGTGGCGTAGTCGCGGGCTCCTCCGCGACGAGGGTGGTAGCGGTAGGGCGAGTGCTGCAACTCGTCCGGGTAGCGCTGGTGCAGAGTGCCGATGGCGAGGAGTGCGGCGTTCTGGCAAGCGGCGGAGAAGGAATCTCCACCCGCGGTGACTGCCAACGAAATCCTCTCGGGTGAGCCAGTGAGGATCACTGCAGTAACCTCCCAAGCAGCGTGGGGCTCTGCATCGTCACCCTCCTGCTCCGGGAGCTGCTTGCCCTGGTAGTCCACTCCATGCAGATACCCCAGGACAACGCACATGCCCCGCAGCTCCAAAACGAAGCCAGTCAGGTGCAGACCATGACGGTTGATGCTGCCGGCCATCTACAAACAAAAACAAAAGAGAAAAGCAACATTTTAAAGGTCAGATTTTGACGATAAATGAAGCAGCAGGACAGAGAGAGACTAGAGGATTTTCACAAATAAGAAAGGATTTTTATTTTGAAAATATTGCTAAGGCTTGGGATCTACGGCTCGTCCTAGGGTCAAGGGGGCTCTGATACCAACTTGTCACGATCGGAATTAACCCAACGGGCGTTCCTTACGTGCGTGTATTATTCCTTGTCCCAGGAGGCAAGGTACACCAAAAGTTGATACATTTCAGAGTTTATAAAGTGGAAGCGTAAATAGTTAATTTATTACATGGGCGGCGAAGACCCAGCACACACAAAAACAAACGGAAAACAGCGGAAGACTAGGGCGACGACCACAGGCGCTTGACGGCAGGCTTTTGTTTATAACCAGACTGAGCCACAAACTAAGCCTTACCTACTAGACATGTGGAAGTACGGTAGTGCTTTGCAACAGAGGCTCGAAGACCGGTCCTTATATGGCCGAGGTGCTACTATCAAAACCATGCACCCCGAGCCCAGCCTAAAACCATTTTGAGGATTTTGAATAGAGGGGGAGGTGTGAATCCAATTTCCACAATAATCAAACCATTCCATAGTGTCCAGGTGATATGAATATCCCAAAGTCTAGAGTTGTAAAACCACCTAATGTTGCCTAATTAACCAGCGAAGCATCTACCTAAAATCATACTAGTGGTACCATGAGTAGAGTGTCCACTAGTTGGGGTTTTGTTTATTCTAGGGTGAACAAGGAAATAATAACAATAACAATAATAAGGTCATAACAAAGGTAAATAGGCATGGCTAGATAAAACAGTGATAACGCGAGAATTTAAATAAAGCGATAATGCAATAATTTAAATCAACATAATTTTATAAACTGGGATTCAATATGTTCAAGGATGATGTGACTTGCCTTGCTCGCTTTCCCAAACGTCGGCTTCAACTTCCACGAAGAGCGGATCTTCCGAAGCTGCAGCGTCTACACGACCAACGGAAAAGAAAAGGCTTTTACTCTAATAAACTCCATATAACAAGAACGAACAAAGCACAAAAATGGGTTCTTGACTTCTTAAGGAAAAATTAGAGACTTGAACGGTCCAATTCCGAGTTCAAATGGCCAAGTTATGGCCATTTAAAGTTTATATGCTCTTTAAATGAATATTTGCGAATTTCTTCATTTAAATTTTAATTTTAAAAGGGTTTATTGCGTCAGCCGAGGGGAGGGGGCGCGCGGACCGGGTCCACGGGAGTGGGGCCCACGCGGCAGCCTCACGGTCCACGGTGGACCGGGTGCACTCAGGCTCACACCGGCCGGCGCCGTGGGTCCCACGCGTCAGCCGCACCCGAGGGCGCGGGCGGTTGACGGCCGGGCCCCACGCGGCAGCCGCTCGGTGCGCCCGAAGGCGGCCACGTCGGCGCGGCCGGCGGGAGGCGGCGCGCCCGCGCCCCTATGGTCGCCGGCGGCGGCCATGGGCACATCGGAGCGGCGGCCGAGAGAGGGGAGGGAAAGGGGGAAATGAGGCGGCGGTCCACGGCTCACCCTTGGTCGACGGCGACGACGAAAAGGCAGCCGGAGCGGAGGAAGGCGGCGGCGCGGCTCGGGTCGACGGGGACGGCGGCGCTCCGGCGGTCGACGAGCGAAACGGAGGGGTGGACGAGGTCGGTGAGGATGCGGCGAAGCCGAAGGAGGTGGCGCCGAGGTGGGAGGTGGTCTGGGGCGACGACGGTGGTGGACCGGAGCTCGGCGGCGACGGCGGAGAGAGAGCGACGACGCGAGCTCGATTCCGGCGAGGAGGAAGGGCGGCCAGAGGCAGAAACGGACGGAGGAGGTGCGGGGAGGGTTTAAATAGGGTTGGAAGGGGGGGAGAGAGCGGCCGGCGGGGAAGGAATAGGCGCGGGAGGTCCGGCCGCCATCAATGGCGCCGGCGAGATTTGCGGGGGCAAATCCGCCCGTTTGAACGCGAGAGAGAGAGGGAAAAATGGGGGGAAAGGGAGAGGGGATCACGGGGAGTGATTTCCCCCTCTTTATTGCACGCGGGG